CTCTGTCAGACTTCTCTCTCTCTCTCTCTCTCTCTCTCTCTCTCTCTCTTCTTATCTTCCTCCATCTCCGTCCTCTTCCTCTTCCTCTCAGCTGTTGAATCAAAAAGTACAGAGACGGGCTAACTGGCTGCTTTGTAGCTGAAGGCTGCTGTGTGAACTAGCGCCGTAAAGACGAACTCACTTCTCTGGGACTCACTGCCTAAGGGGCGGTCACACTGGCCATCCGTACCGTGCCGTACTCAAGCACGATTGGCCCCCCGCTGCGTCATTCCCACGCTGGCCGGCACGGCCCGCGGTCACACTGCACAGGACTATCCGTGCCTAAGCACAAATTCCTCTCATAATACAACACATGCATGCTGAGTGTGCTGAGTTGACAAACAGGTGGAATCAGATGGAGAGAGAGAAAGAAAAAAAAAAGGGATGCGTAGTTAAGTCTGCGTATGCACATCGGAGAACAACACAGAGAACATGACAGCTACTGTGTGGCATATATTGAGTTATGTTAGTCAGATACGGCAGTGAAACTCTGGATTTCTCCACAATGAAGGCTGTCAGAGTTGTGTAACTGCATGCTTGTGCTCATGCATGAACTGTACTGTGCCAAAGCCAAGGAAGTGTACCGTGTCTGAGCACGGCACGGATCGGTCACACTGGCCAAACGAACGGATGGCCAGTGTGACCGCGCCCCAAAGTTACATTGTGCTGAAAACAGGCGATCAGGGCGCTCTGTGGACATGAGAGAGATGCCAATCTCTGTTGGAAGTCATTGTTCTGCGAGAGCTACTTTGAAACGACTGTTTGGAGGTGGAAACGGTACTTCTTGTTGCTTTTACATTTTCAGTTCTTTACTCGTGTGAAATTGGTTCAAAAGAGAAGAGTGAGAGTTATTCATCTTTGTGGATGATGTCTTACAACATTCTTCCTAAAGGACACAACAGTGCTCGGTTATTTACTTTGTTTATTACAAAACCCATTTTCATTCAACTGAATACCTGCATTCATAGCTGGCAGGAGAAACCTGAGAGTGTGGGTAGGAGTGGGTTTGTGTTGTTGTTATTGTTGTTGATTTGTCCTCAAGTCAAAACAGAGGGTTCAGTCAAACATCTGTGACTTTGTTATGTAATTGTATTCTGCACATTCTCCTGCTGCTTTAATTACAGAGGTAGCACGATTGTTAAATAAATGATAATCACAAAGAGGAGAGAGTCAAAACTATTCCTGCAGCCGTTTATTTTAACCATTGGAAGTATAATAAATATACATTTTTAAAGAGCTTCAACATCCTCGCCGCAGGGTACAGTATGTAACTGTAGTTACACGGCTAGTAGATAAACAGATGTTAATCTTTATAATACAATCCTGAACCCTCAATGTGTTCAGGAAACACCGTCTCAGATGATCGTGAATCATCTCTTCTGTTTAAGGATTTAAAATGAGCAAAGAGGAAGACACATCTCATCCATCAGCAAATATTGAACACTACCCCTAACACATACACACACACACATGCATGCACATACACACTTTTACGAGTGTGACAGATGTAAATGGACGTTTCAGCAGTCGGATCTAATGCATTTTTAAACAGGCACAGCAGCCGACAGCAAAGGAACGAGTCGCAACGGCAACACTCAGCGACGGGGTCTGCATCTATCGCTGCCTCCTCCTCCTCCATACAAACATACAAACACACACACACGTTCACGCACACACACGGTCCTACACACTGCTGGGAATAGCTGTCATTCATCAACCTTTCTCAGTACAATGGGCTCAGTAAAGGTCCCATCTTTCAACTAAAGCACCTCCACAGAGCAGAGCCAGCTGAGACTCTGCACACTGCATCACACTGTGTGTCACACACACACACACACACACACACACACACACACACACTCCTGCACGGCACAATGGGCACACGAGTAGCTCAAACTGGTGTTTACTCTGAGAGCTGGAAATTAAAAAGGCTCTGCTGTAACAGATGACAACACAGAAGACAGTCACTGCTGGTTAGAGCTTGAATTAGTGCTGCTGTGGAAATGTAAATAAATATTTTCTCAAATTAGAAACGCAAAATACAAAAAGAAAGAAATTAAAAGGACTTGTTTTATTTGCTTTAAATAAAAGTGAAGGTAGCTGACGCTCAATCTGAGTGTTCGTGTCAATAACTGATTTAATTCGGCTCATTGAGATGATAGATGACCTTCATATACCTGAGCAACAGTCGTCTTTTTATTCCTCCCCTCAAAAACAATCAGGCTTCATTTGGAGGAAAGTGAAAGACAGAGGAAATAGGTCTATAAAAATATATCAGCTGTTTTCTTTATTGTTGCACTCATGGCTTTTTATAACACTGACGATCTGTATCTTTGTTAATATGGAGCCACACATCGTGTAACTACAAAGAACAAAAGAATCCTCTGTGAACGCCTCAATTAGGAAACAAAATTGACCATTAAAACCAATCAAATACGTCTCGTTGCAGAGAGTTCTTTAGAACCAATTTAAAAAAAAGAAAACGACATGTTACTGATTCAGCCTTAATAACGTGCTGCCCTCCTTCCTGTCCATGCATGCCCTACTTCATGAAGTCACTGTGAGGGGACTTCAGTTTCTCTTCTTTGAGTTTGAATCATAGTCAGTACGCCACCCTCAGGTGCATCATAGCCTTAATTTAACATCTTTGTTTGGACTTCATTGATCCGATGAGAGAGGGGAAAAGGATCGGGGTCAAACCTATGGCTGATGAATGAAGGACTGTGGCCTCTAGTGGGCGCCCACTCTGCAGACTGAGTTACATTTGTATCCTGATAACAACTATTCTTTTTTGGGGGCCCATTTTTGCCTTTATTTGATCAGACAGCTGAAGAGAGACAGGAAATGCTGGGAGGAGAGAGCGGGGATGATCTGTAGCAAAGGGCCGAGGTCCGATTTGAACCCACAGCCACTGCAATGAAGACCAAAGCTGCTTAGGTAGTGAAATACGTAACCTCAAGGCACCTCTTAACCGCCACTTTTAATGATTGTCAAAGCAGCTGATGGGTTGTTGCTGATAGGTAGCCCTTAAGGAAGATAAATGCGTCATACTGCAATCACTTTAGTGGGTCAAATCTGCTGTTCATATTACAAAATAAACTTGTTGCATCTTCAGTTAATACCGTGGATGCATTTATTAAGAAATAGCTCAACATAAGCACTTCCTTGTTGTTCATTTTGCAATCAGAATCAAAACAACTACAGATTACACTCAGAGGAAACTCAAAACTACAAACTCTGTTAGTCAAGCTCAATGTTTGTTTGTTTGTGTTTGTTCTGTTACAGCTGTGATTCAAACCAATGATGAGTTCCTGGTATCTTTGTAACATCAATGGTCACTGAGGCTCATGGGAAATGTAGGCAACTACAGCCAAGATCTCGTGATTTTCTGATGACCATAACGTAAACCTAACACATAAAGGGACAGAGTGCAACTTTGACTTTGGTGATTCCTTTGTGTTTGTGTATGCAGGTAGTGTTCAGGTGTGTGTGTGTGTGTGTGTGTGTGTGTGTGTGTGTGTGTGTCTGTGTGTGTCTGTGTGGGACGTCCAACAGAGGTCTGCACCTACGAGGTTGTCTATGGGGCGGAGCTACAACTGAATTGAAACCACTCTAGAAATCCAGGAGATATTTAAACATGCCGCCTTTTGTGTTTGACCTTTATTACTGTTGTCTCACGGAAAGTGACGATTCTTTCGACCAATCAACGGACTGCAGTGTGTCTAGCTCCTCCCTTCTGCACCCCAACAGAAGGGTAGCAAAGAAGTAGGACGATACCGATCGGTTATTTTGGTACCATTCCTAACTTTTGAATGTGGAAACACCAATAAATGTTATGTTACTGAACCGAAGCGAGCAGGACCACTTGGTGGAAACGGGGTACAGTCAAAGATCTGGGGCTGAGGAGGGTTTCATGCATGCAGTCAAACCAGCCATCCCCTAAATCTGCCTCACTCTTAGCCATGATATAACCAAACAGGATGAGTTATATAAAAGATCACCCCCTGTTCAGTGTGTGTCCATAAAGACAGGAGCCATTCAGACCAAAACAGGTTGTAAACATGTTGATTACTGCTTTAAAAGTGTGTATTTTAATATGGGTGTTAATGGGACTTTAGGGGCTTTTGGAGCTAGCCTCAAGTGGACACTTGAGGTACTGCACTGACTTCATTTTTCAACTCCAGAGGTTTCCGCTTGTTGCAAATGAAGCGGTTAAATTATGATGAAGCCACAACTTTCTAATTTGCAAACCAATGTATCCTCCATCATCCGCTGTGTGGTCGAGATTTTATGTTGATGCATTTTCTGTCTCAGTGCAGTGTGAGCTCTTATCTGCTGAACTATCTGCTGTGTGTTTGCTGATGTTGAACTGTTTCCCCTGCTGAAGAATAACATCGGAGCCATCTTGTGATCACACTGAATGTAAAGATTGATGTTCAATCTGTGTCTTTAATATTACATAATGTCATCTCCACAGATTCTGCAGAGTGCTGCATGATGTGGGACATGATGTGATGAATATTGTATCCCGGCCTCTTTTCATGCTTTGTGTTTCTCTCTTCTTGCTAAAGCTTCTTGATTTCTGTATAATGCTAACATGTTTTCATAGGGTGACACTGCAGTTACAGCAGACTCCACTTTACTTTACAACCATCCCACGAAGTCTCCATCTATATTTATGTGCATTTGCTTAAACGAGAGGGAATTAAAGGGATATTTCACCCAATAAGAATGTGCAGAATATTGATGTAGTGTCATGCATTGTGTGCACTTCAAAAGTTCACCTCTAGTGCACACATTTCTCTTACATATATCTGTATTTAAATAAAAAATAACGTGTTTGAGAATTCAACATTTTGGGGGATTTATCTCTTTAATTGTGGCCCTCTCGCTGCTGACAGTCTGTATTTGTGCTTCCTCGTGTACGCTGAACAGATGTTTCATTGCTTTTGTCATTGCAGGTACTCATCAGCACAACTATAACCATGTGGCTTTAGGTAGCCCCACACGCACACCTAAGCATGGTAAGAGCAACCAGCAGCAAAGGGGACATTTACAGCTCAGCTCAGCTTTTACTCGAACACGCTGCTCGACATGTGTGATGTGTGAAAAAGCCCTTGACACGGCCCTCTGTTCAATTCGCCTCCATCCTTTCAGTTATTGAAACGAGGCTTTTTTCTGCTCGAGATTGAATCATAGAAGTGTCACGTCTCATAGCCGTGAACGTTTCTCTGGGAGCAGGTCGCTGTCCATCTCCATTTTAAAGGGAATAAAATTGGCCGAGGATCCACTTAATGTTCTGTCGAGGTCGAGCCGCCCTCTGGTTGACGGAGCGTGTGCAACCTGCCGTGTTCCTCGCTGTTAGAACGAAAGTTATCACCGTGACCTCCTGCTCCCCTGTGAGGGTTTTATTACTGATGTCATGCAGCGGTTTGTGGGAGTCGTTCGTTTGGCAGGCCTTAAAATTACAAATAGATGTGTAAGAAATACTCTAATAAAAAAAGACGGTTACACTTTATAATACGGTCTCCACATTCATTATTAAATAGTTGCTTATTAGCATGCTAATTCATAGAATACTATCTACTTATTGTTCATTATTCTACATGACCATACTCTAAAGCTTATAGGGCTCAACAGTTTGGTTCAGGATGTAAAAATCCCATTCATCTTCTCCATAGTGGATTTGATTATTATCCATGATGTCATAACCGTCACAGGTAGACTGACCACGAGCTACCCAAGTATTAAACGATAATATATGCTCCTTGAGGAGACACAAGTTTGTCTGATATCAACATCGTTTAAAAAAAATATATATATTTTTTCAATATCAGGGCAAAGAACACTACCCACGATCACAAAGTGTCACAGCGATGTCTCTTATTTTTTGAACTTGCTGTTACCATGGCAGGTTTTACCGCCCATTGGCGCCATATGCGAACAGAGAAGTTTTGCTAGCAGGCTAGCTAGTTGATTAGCTAACATGAAATGTACTATTAACCTTGTTCTGCCGCAGTGAATGTAGTTTATATTTTAAACAACACAAACTACAAGATCTAACACCAATTACATTAACAGGATAAACACGATAATGACTAAAGTTACTTTTAAGAAAAAGAGGGATCATTCGCAATGGATTGTGGGATTGGTAGTTCCTTGACTCTGGACGAAAATGATATACACACCTTTTTTTCCCGTTTTTAAATGCCGCTTTGACACCGAATTAAATGTACTATAGACACGAGTATTGGGGTAGCTGGCTGTCTTTGTTCCAGGCACCAATCTCTTGATGTAAGGATTTTGTGAAAAATTAAGGGAGGATTTGAACGGGGAAATTTACTTCTGGAACCAAAGCCACAGAATATGTAGGCGGTCACTGTGCAGCTCTCTAGGTCATTAGTTAAGAGTGCATTCACACCTGAGCTGATTGGTCCATTTGAATCTAACTCTGGTGCTCTTTGTCAGATCGTTCGTTTGGTTTTGGGTGGATGCTCAAACGAACTCTTGTGCGGCCCAAAAAAACAAACTCTGGTCCCCTTCAAAATAGGGCTCTCTTCCAAGTTAACTTCCAAGTTCACCAGAGTCCAGTTAGCTGAAGGTGAGAATGCGATCCGAAACAAGCGAGGGAAGTCCAGACTTTATCTGTAAAAGTGACCTAAGATTTCCCCCTCTTTAGTAATACTTACTGATGCGTTAGGAAGTAATGGAACATGACCTTTGATCTCAATATGTTTGGTCTCTTCTCATGAAACGAAGCACAAAAACTTCTCACCTTAGTGATGTCACAATAACTCCTAAATAAGTCTCAGAAGATGTTCCTCAGTCTAAAGTCAACCCCTCCCCCAGGTGGGTGACACTCCCACAGATAGGTGTTTGTTCTGCCCTCTGAGTCTGCCTTCTCACCGTAAACAAAAGGACATCGAGAGAGAAAGCCCAAGTGCACCCAAGCCCTTCCAGAGAGGGGCGTGGTCAGACACAGCTCATTTACATATTTAAAGGTACAGACACAGAAACAGCCTGTTCTGAGCAGGGCTGAAATAGAGGGGTTTATAGGCATGATCAAATACAGGATCAGAGTGGATTTAGAACAAGAAACTTCACACACATGTTTTAAGGCGCTCTGAGACTTATTTACACTGGTTGATGAGGAGGAGAATATGTCACCTTTAAACAACACTATAGCAAATGAGAATATTGCTGATATCACAATAACTGTATTAAGCTTTTAAAGATGACACATTTTGTTGGAAAACCAAATAAATACGTCGTCAGTTCACAAATATCAAAAGCCTTTAAGTATCTGTATCACAAGTCTGCAGTTTGCCTGGACTGTTAATTAACAACATTTCTTTATTATTTAACAGAAAATACAATTATGTTTTTTCCTTGAGAGAGTTTATGATGTTGTAAATGAGTTGCTTATGAAGTCATTCAGAGGAGAAAAACGATTATTCCCCTGAGAAGAGCCTGGTTTTTCTTTTAAATGTGAGGAGAAAAAAAAGTAAATGAATTCTCCAGTGAAGTACAGATTCTTGACAACTCTCCTTTAGTATGTTACAATAGCTGGGTATTTCCACCTCTTTCATTCCCACCTCTGCCTGAGATCAGCCTGGAGCTGGCCTCAGGTTGTAGACGTGCAGATGTGATGAGCAGCAGCTGCATCAGGAGGTGGAGGCTGCAGAGAGAGAGAGAGAGAGAGAGAGAAATAAAAGGAGAGAAAGGAGGCCATACTCTGAATATTCACAGCCCTCTGTGTTTGTTAAATCACTCTTATCTCTCTCCATTCGATTTTTAAAATTCTGTTTGTTTCAACAAAAACATGAAAAAATGATTCGCTTGCTCCCGGGTGCTCGGCGGCTGAGCTCCGATTCTGAACCCCTTCTGTACGGACGTTATTGACCACGTGGGCCATTTCACGCACACACACAGATAAGCAGAGTGAAGAGAACAGCCTTGAAGATGTGTGGGAATCATAAGGAGTGCATTTGAACGACACATCTAACACACACTTTGATCACAGACGCCCTGAAAGGATTTAGATTTCACTGACTCCTCCTGATAAAAAGCAAACAAGTGAAACAAGCCGGCTGCTTGAACACCAACAGCACGGCTCAGAGAGTTTATTATGAGGGAGGGGTTTCTCTTCAAAGTGTTGCTGAACAGTTTTAGTTTCTGGTTTCTGTCCACATCAACATGTTTCTGAAATATTTGTTTTTCCACTTGGGTTTTGGTAGCTCACCGATCATTGAGGCGTGGTAAGTCTGACACACACGCATCTGATTCAGTCATCCCAGCACACACACCTGTGTTTCACATCCACCACCAACCAGCCCGTGTGTGTGTGTGTGTGTGTGTCTGTGTGTGTGTGTGTGTGTGTGTGTGTGTGTGTGTGTGTGTGTGTGCGTGTGTGTGTGTGTACATGTGTGTGTCGTCCTCTCGTTCACCTGATTGATGAGGCTCTGAGAAGAAGTCTTGCTGTTTGTTTGAACCTGTGTCAGTTAATCTGATCTTTATGTGCAGAACAAAAAACTCACATATGGAAGAATTGTTTTAATATTTTTTAGGAGAAAGAGTCAGAAATGTACTCTGAGTCTTTTCTTCAACAGCTGGACAGTTTGAAGAAAACTCAACTGAAAGAGGAGAAAACATCACGTTTGTTCGCAGCTATATTAACCATGACCGTAAATTGTGATCAAACATCTTCCCCTTCCTCAGAGGTTCACAGAGTTCTCTTTTCTGCCTTTTGATGGCGGTTAACTCTGGATGCAGAAAGCTTGCCTCTCTCTGAGCTTTTGCCTTTCTACATTCTAAAGCGACAGAACCTGAGCAACAAATGTGGTGGAGAAATTATCGGGCGTTTGTTCCTCATGTTGCAGGCAAACCTCATAAAGCGTGAACTTTAACTTTACTTACTACACTGCATCATAACGTTGTCCTGTCCAGGCATCAGTGAAGCTAATGTGTGCACTTCAAGGTGATGTAAGGACTGCCGGCATTTCTTCACATACAGTTATTAAAGGGGCCAGTATTTGTTTAACAAGTCAACACAACTAGCCCGAGAAACTGCAGGGACTTTTGTTGTTGTTCATTTTTGGATTGAACACAGCTTTAAGTTGTTAAACCCAAAAAAGTTCAAATTTCTTCAGCTGCAGCAGAAACTTCTGTTGACGCCCACGTCAGATGATTGTTGACTAATAGGTCAACCATGATGTCAGCGCAGGACCCGGCTGGGCTGAGCACATCCTGAACTGATCAGTAAATCGTTGTTTTCTATTTACTTTGCCTTGGTTGACTGCAACAAAAATCTTTGTTTTTTTCTCAAACGTCTTCTTTAAAACACACAGCAAGCTTTGCAGAGCCTCTTTGATCCGGGTCTGTGTCTGTTCTGTCCATCCTGATGAAGCAGTGAGATGTGTTCAGAGAGCTAACAGCATGCCACAGTCGATGCTCCTGTTATTGATGCAGTGAGGCGGACTGTCCACTCACAGATCGTTCACATCCTTCCAACCCACACTCCCTCTGCAGCTCCCAGGACCCCCTGCTGCACCCGGCCCTGCAGCCTACCCTCACTCCTAATGTTCCCCCTTTCTTATATTTTATTTTTTCTTTATGTATTTCAGTCTATTTTTCCCTCTTAAAGTCTCCTCCTCTTCTCTGTCCTCCCATCGTCATCCTGCAGCAGCGGTTACTGAAGCCTTATTTTTATCTGTCCGTTGGAGGCTGGTGTGGAGCCGCACCCATGCCCGCTGCTCTGCACTGCGTGACAGACTCACAGCCCACTGGGGAGGGCGAGATAGAGCAGCAGCGAGGAAGAAAATGAGAGAGAGGGGAATAGTGAATGGACAAGAAAGAATTAAGAAGCGAGGGAAAGTGGGTGGCAGCATGGCAGGCCCGATAAGATTGACAGAGGGAGGAAGACGGCGGTGAATGGAACAGACTGCGGATGTTTGCGTGTGTGAAAGAGAGAGATAAAGAAAAAAAGGGAATAAAAGAGGGCTTTGGTCCAGTCAGCCACCCTCCCCCCCCCCGAGCGTCGTCCTCGCTTCATATCAGGTCACATCAACGACAGTCGGTCCAGGCGCTGTGCCCCCACCACGTCCCTGATCACATCACAGCGCTGTCATGAGCGAGGTCGCTCTCAGCACACATCTGTTGTTCCGTGTTGTCTGTTTTTTTTTTTTTTTTGACCGCTGTTCCCTCTCGTCAAACCACCACGTCACCTGTCAAGTCCGTCCCACACCAAACGTCCACCGAGTGCCTGATGTGACCGCCCACACACCCCCTCCCCCTCCCTCCCCCCCGCCACCAGCAACCTGGAGTTTTAGATATGCAACTTTTTCTCACAGGCTGACACATTTAAACGTGTTTCTCTAACGGAGCTTTTACTCGACAAACGTGTGAAGAAGAGGTGTAGCGCTAAAAAGACGAGATGAGAAACTAAAGATGTGTGAAGATCAGAAGTACGCAAAGTTCATGCAAATGTTCAAAAACATTTAAATTCTTCAGGAGTTACATTTTTTTTTCATTAAAGCAAAAAAGAAAACAGTAAATCTGCTGCATTGTTGTTCTCGTGACCACCTGAGTCAAACACAAAGCAAGCGATTTAAAAAGACGTTAGCACGTCGAACAAAGCTTTGATTTAAACTTTACAAATCTGCATCGAGTCAAAGCTGCGTCAGATTTAAAGCAAATGGTGAACAGGTTATTTAATAAGAAAAATCAAGCGCTGCTTCATTTTGCAAAAAGCCGTCTCACATGAAAGCTTCCATAGTTTCTCTCTAACCTGATACTAAAGGAACTGATGTCTGGGTCTGCCGATATCACCGCGTCAATAAGAAAAACATGATGACGATCACAACGACATTAAAACACAGCAAGGTGGAGTCCTCGACGACATCACAGTCGACGGTTTGTAAATTTAAAAAAACATGATTGAGCTTAGTTATAAGTTAGAGTTTTCAAATCAGTGATACATTATAGTGTTTGTTCAACAGAGAAATGTGAATTCAGTTCAAATAACTAATAACAATAATAATCTGAAAAAAAGAGAAAGAAAGCAGCTTAAAAAAACCTTTGCAGATACAGATCGGAACACAGAAACTAGTGTTGTAGTGCTCGAAATCGAACGGTCTCCAGATCACTTCTTGAAGGTCTCGTTTCGGTCTCGGACTGGGCGGACTCCTGATGTTAAATTTAAGACCACCACTGATCGGCTATTTTTCCACGCCCTTTACTGTGATTGGAAGGAAAACGCCTCTTTTTAAAAGAAAAAATAACTTCAATTTATATATAGTTTGATTTTTATCCCCCGGTTTCAGCCGCTACCTTTCCGGTGTTACGGTCTAATGGAGTGACACGCCCCCTGCACACAAGATGAGGATTTATCAGTGATATTTTAGGGTCTTGGTCTCGTCCTGTCTTGGTCTGGGTCTTGGTCTCACCCTTGGTCTTGGCCTTGACTTGGTCTCAATCCCTAAATGTCTTGGCCTTGACTACGACGCTATCAAAAATCTACTTCCATTCCAAATCAAAACCTCTTTTTTTTAAACTTCAGTTTTGGCCACACACAGAAAAGTTGACCTCTTTCATCCGAGGGTCATTTTAGAAATGAAATCACAAACCTCTGACATCCATCTTTAGCTACATGTGAACTGTGGGAGTGTTTCTCTGATGTAACACTCTAACACTCACTGGAGGTTATACTTCCATGAAAGAAATATACTAATCTTTTAAAATAGTTTTTTAAAAGGATGACAGAGTTTAGAGCATGAAGGATGACAAAGATTAAACTTTTTTAATCCAAATCTGATTGTCATTAAATGCCAAATACCCCAAAATGCGTAAATGTTTGGTTCAGGTTTACGCTCCCTGAGGGCGCAGAGAGAACGCCACAGACACACGTTCCTCTCTCGTGTATTTAGTTACATTCTCTCATGAAAAGGCTTCAAGGTTTCTTTTAAACGTATTCGCCTCCAGGAAATATTTGTAAAACTAAAACTCCAGCTCAGTCCCCCCTTCTCTCCCTCAGCAGGTGGTCCTCCATGATGCTCTGATCCTGGCTCGCTTTTTGTAACGGGGAGGGGAGGTGCAGGGGTTTGTGTGTGTGTGGGTGTGTGTGTGTGTGTGTGTGTGTGTGTGTGTGTGTGTGTGTGTGTGTGTGTGTGTGTGTGTGTGTGAAGAAGGCAGCCAGCCCATCTCTCTTCTCTTTCCTCCTCTGTCTCTGTAAATGTATGTATGTGTCTCCAGAAAACAATCGGATTAGCGGCATCCTGACGTCGCAGACGGAGCCCTATGACCTGTCTTTCTCACGCTCCTTCCAGAGCCTGTCTCACCTACCGCCTTCGTACGAGGCGGCAGTCAAAGCCGACCTCAGCCGCTTCTCGTCCCTGAAGAAACTCAGTAGGTCCAAGTTCACTGGTCTAATGCAAGAGGAGGCTCTCTGCCCTGAAGCCCTGCATGAACAAACACTGCATCACGTGTCCTGAATCCTGACGGGGACTCGCAGATCTCCAACGGGTTGTTAGCATCGTCATATGAATAATGGACGTAGCCACTGTGATGTACCCCATTAGTTGGATGACTGCAATATTGTAACTTTGAGTTTTTTTATTTTTGATGTCCTCATCTTGGTTTTCTGGAGCCAGACGTGACCATATTTCGAGAGGAGGAAGGTTAGAAAATACTAAGTTATCAGAGCTGCCCACGCCTGAAGCTAACTCGTTAGCCAGATGATACGTTAGCTAACCACAGTGTGTCCCAAAGACAGAGACTCTATTTGTGGTGCTAGCTGAGTGAAGCTTTTAGTTTTATGATTAGGAGCTAAAGGAGACGTGAGACATAGCGGACTCACTGATTTCTGGTGGAGGTTAAAATGGCACAAACTATGAAACTTTAAACGTGGTTTTCTTAGAATAGTTTATTCTTCTGCGTCGAATGTACGCTATAGCTACGCCATAGTGGCCTGGCCCACGCTAATGCTATCACTACATACTCGTGCTTGGCTCTGCAATTCTCCGCCTACAAACGCTAGTTGGTCCCATTTCTCTGCTAGTTAAATCCCCAGTGTTTTTCTGTCACATTCCCTTCCTGTTTGTGTACAGGAAACCATGGCGACTGAAACTGGGCGTTTGATAATGGAGCTGGAGCTGATAAATATCGAGCAGCAGTTGATAAAACTTGCTGCTAGCGTCTTTTCTTCTAGTAAATGCAGGAAATACGATGCCCAGCAGTCCAATCACAGGGCTTGGTGTTTCCTCTTGGTTACATTTTTGAGGAGGTGCACATCAGACTAAACGCACAGGCTTCTCCGTAGAGTCAGGGCTACGCAAACCTACAGCGTAGATTAAACGCAGAAGTATTAATCAGGCTTAATCAGGATCAGGATCAGGATTAATCAGGTTAAATGGCAACAACGATTCTGACTCCGATTCATGGACCATGAACGAGACACAAATAGCCAGCTGGTGCTGACATGTAAAATAAAACAATGTTTTTATTTGGCTGGGTGTAAAACCTCTCAGACATGTGGACGGTGTGTTAGTACAATAAAGCTCACAGTAAGAGAGATTATTAGTCTGATAGTTACATGAACAAATCTCCAAAAGGCTATAGTGGAGTGATGACTTCATAAAAGAGAGTGAAGTCAAACTCCCCCTGGGTTTGTTGTTCTGAGCTCTGTGTTAACACTGACAAGACGGCGCTTGACGGAACTGCAGCTGTAAAGTTGGACATTTTAACATGGGGCTCTATGAGGACTGACTCACTGCAGGAGACAGACTCTAGTGGACACTGGAGAAACTGCAGTTTTTGGCCAATTTTAATGTTCGCTTCCATTTTTCAGCCCAGAGGTGGCTGCTTTCGTTGTAAAAGGAATCAAACTGTTTCCTTAAAGTACTAAAACGTCTTTATAGTGTGCAAGCCCTCATAGACTCAACACAATGGGGAGGGACTTGATCTGAATAGAAAATCTCCATTTCTAACCTCTGATCCTTCCTGAAATTGGCCTAGTCATCTGTAGAAACTATGATCAATGAGACTTCTCGCTCCCCTCGTCTCCCCTCAAAGGCTGCAGCCACTTTTCTTTTTGGTCTCCGAGCGTATAAGTACATTAAATGTCTTCTCATGCCCAGCCTGGCTCGGTATTGATTTGGTGATTCTACGGTGGATTTCTGCTGCGTAATGGGGTCTCATCCCGTGATATTCTCTGAGTGGAGCACAAACATTCCTTAAGGCTTGTGTAATTTCATCACGACTGGCCCAATTCAGGGCTGGCCTGCAGTCAAAGCTATGGATCTACAGCTCATCCTGTCAGGGCTCGCTCCACAAACGCTGCCACTCGTAGCTGTCAGGAAAACAACTGAGACGCATCTTTTCAGAAGCAGGATGCGCTGCTATGTACTGGTCCTCGGCTGTACTGGGACAAAAACACAACAAAAACTCCCTTCCCTTTGCTTAGAGAACGCTTGTGAGAATTAACATAATAGTTTTCAATAGGCGGTGAAACAAAAACCACATGAATAGTTCTAGATAGCAGCACACAAAAGAGGCATCAGAAGAGCTCTCCTCGGGCAGCGTCCTTCAGTCTCACAAACTTTCTTTCTGCTTCCAAAGCAAATTATTTGTTGCAGCAAATAGCCTGAAGCCTGTGAAGCTTCTTTTTGTTGCTCAACTAGTGTCTGAGCGCTGATAGATCATGTTGGATTGTGCCAGAGGGAAGATGGAGCGGCGTTTTCATTGTGGGGACAATAAAAGAGAAGAATGCTACTGCTTATTAATGCAAATTGGTATCAAACTGAAGAAAAGCGTTTAGCCCGCCGCAGCGCAGGACAGTGTACACCACAAGTAAGTCATTCACTCTATGGTAATACGGTTGATGAGTTTGCAGAGCCCGGCCCACATCTTGAAGACTATTATGCCCGAGAAAGGAACATCTTGTTTTTATGATGTCTCGTAATGAATCGATTTGCTGCGAGCGCCCGTGGCTCTCTGCTGAAGGGGATTCTAGTCTGAGCGTGAACCTGACAGGTGGTGTGAGCGGCGTTTTATTGAAAGAGACGGCTCACTGCATAATTTATTCCCTCCATATAATAACACTTACCTCTGACTTAGTTTGATGGTTAAACATGAGGACCGGGCTTCTTTAACAAAGGACTTTTAAATATTTGAATGAATATTTTTCTGCATTGTGTCTCTTTGTCCGACAGTTCTTGTAAACGTGCGTCCGTCTGTGTGTGGTTACCAAACACGTCTTTGTGCATGGGTTTGTGTTGTGAGGCATGAAGTCGATGCTACGTTCACTCCCACTCTCTTCTGCCTCTGGAAATGAATTCATGTTTTTTCAGATCTGCCTTTAAATGCATGTTTAAGTTGTTTGTACACGTGAATGAGAAGAAAACATCCACTCAAGGACATCCCAACACGGTGCTCACTGTGAGGTGATTGTGCAATAATACAATTGGCTCTTCCAGCATGTGTTTATGAGGTGCCTGTCTTCCATACCTGTATACGACGCTGTTTGTTTATAGACTTTCACATGACCTTTGTAAAGTTTGCCCCCACAGCCAGAGCTGCCTGTTGAATCCCAGATGAAGCCTGGGTGTGTAGATGTTATGTGCCTGGCATGTAATACACTCTGACTGTGATTCCTCTCTTTCTCTCTTGTTTTTTATTCTCCTCCACGAGCGCGGAAAGGTGAAGCACAGATGGGTCCGCCAACACTTCGCTCTGCATTGCGTGCGATGTTCTCGGCTCTCTGATTTCTCCCCTTGCATTCCAAACTCCTCCTCGTGTTTTCTCCTCCTCACACGCTCCCTGAACCTCTTCTTCACCTCTTTTCTTCTCTTTCTTTTCTTTCCCGTCTCCTCTGCAGCTGATAAAGAAGTGGAGGACTACTACACTCGTAAGCGCCACCTGCCCGACCTGGCAGCAAGAGGCACGCTACCCTTGCATGTTCTCAAAATCACTCAAGACCAGGTGGGTACCCGAGTGCTCGCTTTAAGAGTGCAGGCATCTAAAAAAGAACTCGTCTTTGAGGCAGAGAGAGTGGTGCCACATTTGAATTTGTGAGAAGCTTTATCTGCTCCTTCTCTTCTCTCTGCAGTGGAGGAGCCTTTCAGTCTTCCTCTTGTGAATAAACTCGACTCATTTATAGATGTTCTGATGGCATTATTTCCTGTCTGATATCGCGCCCAATAACTTAATTTGCTGTGGCTGATACCAAGTACCGATCCAATACTGGTGCAAGACCTGATAGTTCAATACTACTCACGCTGCAGTGATGTGATGAGAGCAAAAGGACAACAGAGTTTGTAGGAGCACATACAGGAAAACGGCATCTTATCTCACGTACCTGCTGATGATCTGGACTCTCAGGCGCCAAACGGGTTTCCTTATGATCAGGGTATAGGTGTTAGATCTTATATATGTTTTTCTCCAAACGGTTGGATGTAACAGATGTTTTTCTGCATACAGATGTCAAGAGATGTTGTGAAGTGTTTGAGTGTAATTTGGCGCTCCCGATAACATATTTTTTGGGCCTTTATTGGAGAGGACAGCTGAAGAGAGACAGGAAACTTTGGGAGGAGAGAGAGTGGGGGAGGTCATGCAGCAAAAAGCTGAGATCAGATTTGAACCCACGGCCGCTGGGACAAGGACTATAGCCTCTGTACATGGGGCGAGCAACATACCCACTAGGCTAAGTCCTCCAAGGTTGAATTGATTCTTGACCAGAGCACAGACTGGTGACCTCACAGATACCGGTCCAGAGTTAAAGCGGTATTTGAAGCGCTTGAAGAACTGGTCCTCGTAAAAGCAGTGGCGATTTTAGAGCCTGTTTTGACCAGAGTCAAAAATTCACATCGGGTCCCTACAACCAGCCTCGGTCAGCATTATGTTGTAAATAAACTGAACAAAAGAAATGCAAAATTAACTTTGAAATAAAGTTTTTAATTTCTAAAGGACACTGCAGAGACTATGTTTGTTTTGGTAACACTGCCCAAGACCAAGTGGTCGTGTTACACAGTGTTTATACCGTAACGACTAGCTTATTCAGGATCTTAGCACACGAGTCGACTGTCGGTGTCCCCCCCCTTTAGACCCCCAGCAGTGCTCACTTGACTTGGTCAGCTGCTCTACACGCTAAATTAACTAATACTGAACGTCAAAATCAAACAGCAGAATGCTAACAGAAATTATGTACTCCAGGTGGAACACTAACTAAGGTTTTCACAGGTATTATGCATGTGATGCTAAGCAGTGATAGAGTGCTGTCAGATGGGGCCCACTTAGGGAGGTTTCCTACTGTCATTGTAAAATTTGCACATTTTGATATACTACTCTGGTTTAAAGTTTGTCAGTCGTCAGGACCCCTAGCAGCACCTCTGGGTAACAGAGCGGCTCTAACCTTCTTGTTCTTTTGTCCAGCAGCATCGGGAACAGCAGCAGCAGCTCCAAAGCCAACCCCCGCCGTCATCCATCTCTCAGGCCCCTCCCACATCACAGTCTTCACAGCAGCAGTCGCAGCAGAGGCAGAGGCCCCGTCGAGTCCAGAGGGCCATGTCCCAGGATCGAGTCCTGTCCCCGCAGAGGGCCCCACAGCAGGACTACAGCACGTCCTCTAACGGGATGTCCCCGTACGGAGGCAGGATCCTCTCAGACGAACAGCTCCTGTCTGCTGAGCGCCTTCGATCCCAGGAGCGTCTGCTTCCACAAGACCGCCACACCTCGCAAGACCGTCTGTACTCCAAGGACCGCATGTACTCCAAGGACCGGCTCCTTTCGCAGGAACACCTGTACTCAAAGGACCGCCACTACTCTCAAGACCGCCTCTATTCACAAGATCGCCTGTACTCACAAGATCGCCTCCTGTCCCAGGATCCTCTGATCTCGCCGGACAAGCTGATGAGGTCGCTGAAGCGCGGCATGGTCAGCAGCATCTCCGGCGGCTTTCGTGGCAGCGACATGTCGATGTCGCGTGCCATCTCGCACACAGACGTGTTCATACCAACCACGCCTCTTATGGATCGCTACAAGATGACCAAAATGCACTCCCATCCCAGTGCCTCCAACAATGCTGGCGGTGGCGGCGGTGGCGGTGGAGGCGGAGGTGGGGCAACAGGAGGAGGGGGAAGCACGGCGCACACCAACACTTTAGGCATGAACCAGACATCCACTAAGAGGCAGGCGTTTGCCTCCAGACGGACTCATACCGTGGAGCAGCTCCACTACATCCCACAGCACCACCAGCAGCAGCAGCAGCAGCAGCAGCAGCAGCAGCAGCAGCCGCAGCCACAGCACTACCGCACAGGCAGCAAGACTGAGGTGACTGTTTAACGACAGGAAGGAACACTGTGTGTGCCGGGGGGGATTGTGGGTACATTGGCCTTCTTTTTAGAGTAGGACGTTGGCAATTCCACTTTCTTTGACTGATTCCAGGACCAAGAACATCTTTAGCTAACTGTGAGAGACCGGACAAAGAGCTACACTGTACAAACACGGGCCCAGCGAGATGTGAAGCCAGAGAGGGTCGATGGCGGGGGAGGCGTGCTACTATCCAGCTAACTTGCCTACTATTATTTCCACTGTCTTGATTATCTGATTCATCTAAGGGCTGCGGCCTCATTCTGTGTATGTTCTAGTGAGAAAACACTGATTGTGTCTGTTCAAGCCTTTTCTCTGCCCCGCCCCCCTTTGTCCAACAAATCTACTCTGTGACCTTTTCTGGCCAATCTTAAAGGGCTTTGCATGGTTAAACACATAGACCGATTCCTCCGTGACTTCTGTTGTGCCACACAACACCACCACAGGTGACGAACAGGATGAGCCTGTAATAACTTTATAAATATATAAATAAATGAACAACAAAAAAAAACGACCATTTGTACGCCCTGTCCTACTCAGCTCTAGAGAATCTCCATGAGGGGGACTGAAGTGGATGTCATCGGTGCCTCTGGCTGTGGTTCCATTTCTAAAAACGAAGAGGTTTTGTGGGTTACAAAGCACAATCAATAAAAGATTCTTCTGTTTGTTTTCTATTTGGTATCTGAGTTTGAATAGTGACGGCTAGCTTGTTTTGTTCTTAAAGCAATGGCAGGTTATTTTGCTTCCAGTAGACGATTGTAAATAAGCTATTCTAGAAGCAGTATCATGGACAAGTCTGTACTGGATGGACTTTGTATTAGACTGTCTGTTTTCAATAGATTCTTAAAAAAACAAACTATAAAATCATCACTGTTTCGTGAGTTCAGAATAGAAACCCACTTAACCAAGTATCTGACTGGATCAATTAATACTCTACTGTGTGTGTCTTTGCAAAACATTGTGGGTAGGACGAGAAGTGAATGAATGTGTCGATGCTAACAGATATACCACTGTTCATATTTGGATGTAGACTGTGTTTCCATACAGACATCGGAGGAGGGAACATCGTGGGAGTGGGTTACAATGCTTGTTACAGTTGGGTCAAATAAAACATCCATATTTTTCTAAACATTCATCTTCGTTTTGTGAGACATTTTTGTGTTGTGATTGCTTCAGAGAAAAGATACGCCGCACACTCTGCAGACGACTTTCTGTTCCTCGTCATGAAATATCTCGTTACACTTCTCGTGTCCTCTCGTCACACACGTTAGCCATGTTCACCCGACAAGATCGGAGGAATGCGCGGACTGCTCCGACCTCCACCTCAGCGGCAAGGAAGCATCACTTGTTATGAAATAGCACCATACAAATAAAGATTGACTGTTAAACATCATATTTAAGAATAAAGCCTGGATCGCTTTTTATAAGTATAAATATCTTCTGAAGCAGCATGCAAAGTTTATTTACCGTAAAGTGTATAGGATGCACTTTTATCACCTGATATAAATGAGTTCATCTACAAAAGTTGGCTGCATCCTGTATACGAGTCCGACCGATATAACAGTATAAAAGCTGACAAAGGCGCTGTCATTACAGCATGTGCAGCCGCCACCATCACACATCACATTTCTTGGTCAGTGTTCAGCGTTCTGATGCCGGCGTCTCTACTTAGAATGCAATCAGGGAAATATTTCATGACCTAGACACTTAGAAAAAGACAAAATCAGGAAGTGCTGATGTTTATTTAACCTTTAAATCAGAGCATGCTCACTTGACCTCCTGCGACATAAAAGCTACAGAAAAATTTACAGTTCAACCAAATGTAGCGGCTCTTGACCTGAACATCTGGAAACACGCTCCCTGGATATTCTCCTCCATCACCTCAACGACTTAAAAGGGACATATCATAAAAAATCCACTTGTACAGTGTTTTTGATCATATATTTGGGTGAGTGTCTCCCGACCCACAAAATGTGAAATAAACCATGCTCCGTTTCAAATTTGCTCTCCTTGTGATGTCACAGTGAGATTCTGGTAAAAAATCCCCTCCTCTCCCCTTGTAACTCCACCCATGGACTCCACCCCCAGTTTAGAGCAAAACTTTTGCACAGGTCCGCCATTTTTATTCTTGCTACAGAGGAGTGATGTCTACCGGGAAAACTCATGGGGGGTTCATTGCATTTAAAGAGACACACACACCAAAACGGAGCGTTCTGAGAGAGCTGGTTTATACAGGGTCACAAACCTCCTCTGGTGCTTGATTCATGTTATATTTTGACCAAAGCACAGCACAGATGTTTCATTTAGACCACAGGGGACTGTTTGAAAAGGTGGAGAAGGGGGATAATATGTCTTCATCCAGATTTACTCAGTGATGGCTTTGGGTCCAAATGACTCCTGTCTGACTGTCAGGAGAGTTAGGTACACGTCTACTCGCAAACACTTTCCAAAAACACTCAAAATAATCTTTTACTGGAACTCAGTCACATTTTCCAGCTCCTCCTGGGGGACTCTGGACTCTGTAGCCTCACTGGTGAACAAGAACCTGAGAAACTTAAACTCCTTCAATTGGGGCAATCCAAGGACATTTTTTGGGACTTTTTACTTTTATTAGATTGGACAGCTGAAGAGAGACAGGACATGTTGGGAGGAGAGAGAGTGAGGGACGACATGCAGCAAAGGACGAGGTCAGAACGCTGCAGGACCATGTAGCCTCTGTATATGGGTCGCACAACATAACCGCTAGGTCGTGGGGTCCCGGAGTATGTCCTTTTAATGCTGTTATTTGAAGGACAGTGAATATGGAAATCCATTCGTTCTACATAACGTCCAATAACTCTGTCTGTGGAGCGAAAAGATTCTCTTTGTTTACGCCCACTGAGGTGTAACAGCCAATGAGATTAAATCTGCATCATGACATGTTTAATTTAATCACCAATCAGTGAGACTGTGAGGGTTTGTTTTCACAGAGGGGGGGGGGGGTTCACACTTTATCTGACAGAGTGTCACATTTCTGACTGACAGCCAGGATGTGAGCACTGCTTCAACGTGACACCGTAATGAATGTGGTCGTCTTTAATGCCGGTCAGTGCCGTCTCAGACCTTCTTTAAATTCATGACAATCTGAAGGTGTGAACGGCGTTTCTCACAGCAAACAACGGCGCCTGCGATTGCACTCCTCCACAAACACACCGGAGGAGGGGGAGAGAAAAAAAGGGACAAGTAAAACGTGGAATACGTTTAGGTTTCCAATTTACAGGGATCCTGCAGCCCATCAGCATTTAAATGAAAGTATGAGTGTATAATCAGAAAGAGTGTGAGGACGAGGAGCAGCTGAAGTGTGAGAGGTGAGGCGGCTGCAGGACAAACAACAAGCTGTCCAAGAGCTTCGCTTGACATCAAATAATCAGCCTCTCTCAGGGAGACATTTCTTCAGCCGTGTATGTCATTACGTGTCTCCTCCACTTTTAATGCAAACATGATCCGGGGGCAGAGGGATGATTTTGTTGGTTTAAATATTTAGTTTGCACTCTGTGTTCTTTTCCATTTGTCTCCCGTCCTTCACTTCAGCTCGACCTGTCGCTCCGTCAGAGACTCTCACGTCTGGATATGAAATCAGTTTTACAGTTATAGCCCCGGAGACTTGAAGAGGACGTAGTGACGCTCAACGATTCTCATTTCTCTTGTGTTGAATAAAGCTGTTGAGAGATTCTTTTACTTTAAGAACACAAGAACACAACACAGACATGACCGCTGATGAATCAGACAATCAGCAGAGTGCGTACATCGATATAACTTCATTTTGCGCCGGTACATTTCTACTCTTCCTCTCTGTCCTTATATCTCCCTTATAGGCAGGGTTTGTAGTTTACTAAAACTAGCATGATTTTGAAAGTAGCATTCCCCTCTATGCTCCCTCTAAAGCCACGCCCCCTCACTTACATGCACATGCGCCGTTGCTCCAGGAGTGGACTTCAGCTCAACTCATTCATTGTGTAGAAACTACGTCGTCTCATGTCTCATTCAGTGGTAAGTAAACTCACAGTATAAACTCTGTCATCGGTGACGCGCTTTGACTGTGGGCTCGTGCACGCAAGAAGTAGAGAGCGAGCAGGGAGACAGGGAGGCGTGTGATTGGTTCATCAGATTGGTACCTCGTGGCAGACATTGGTCAAAGTTTTTACAGGCTTACAACTGATATAGATGACGGATTTTCTTCGTTCCTTTTTCAGAGAACATCAGTTATTAATTATTAATTTATTAGACAATTTCAACCAAAATTAATTAATATGAATTATTAATCAATATTAAGATAACAAATGGCCTGACCTGTTAGATAACACCGAAACGCACCAAACGACTGTTAGTGAACCCTCAGCGAGTTCCGGGCCAGTAAGTGTTGGTCTCTAGCAGCAAACTGTCATACCAGCATTTCCCAGCACCGTGCACGATGCTTAAATGTTCCTCTGTTCACGAAGAGTTTATCATGTGTGACAAGTGACGTTCTGGTCTGAAGAGAAACATAGTCGATATAACAGCGGCCTAAAAGTAAAGACTAAACACTGTGAGCTCCCACGTCAAATAAATGTTTCTCAAACATGGTTTCTGTCTTAATAATAAGTTACTATCAGGCTGATTTATTACACAGAGTTAACAAGAAGTTTATTTTTTTTAGATAATTAAAAGGGAGTATAACAGCATGATTGACAGCCGTGTTGACCAATGAGGCTCCTGCGTTTCTGAGTAGAGGAGAAACGGTGAGAGGAAACTTAAACACAAGAGTCATTGAACCTGCCACAACAGTGAGCGTCTGCTTCAAACCGACACAGGGACTGAACCCAACCGGAGCGACCATTGACCTTTTGTCAGGAAGTTAAATGTGTGTTTTTTTTAACTGAAGCTGCGTGACGTCAATACCTCGGCTCTTTGACCTGATCCCTACGGCACAGACTCAAGATGTCAGGAGGGGGTCATGAGGAGGTTTTGGCTTGTACTCAGGTAGCTGCTAGGGCCGGTTCCAGGCTAAAAATATTTATATACAGATCTTCTGAAAGGTCAATAGACGATCTGGACAGGGGGGAAATTTACTTCCTGAGCAAGCGCAGCCAGAAAAGTGGGCGGTAACTGTTGAGCTCTTTTGTCTAAGAGGCCTTTATCGACAGGATGAAGAGACAAGTAGTCATAGGAAGTAATCATGTCAGAGAAACATTCATGTGCACCTCACAGGTGTGGGAGAAAGTTTGGGCATTATGTATAAAAGACCTCAAGAAAGATAGCATGCATTCAGCCAGAGGTTTGTTGTTGTCCAGTTTGTTGGCGCTCGTTGTGAAATAAAATCACAACAAGGCGCAACAACAACAATCTCAAAGTGACACTGGTTTCAGAATCTCACATCTTCACACAACTTTTAATCAGAGCAATCCCAAGACTGTTCAACTTCGGACTGTTTACAATGAGTGAGAAGCTCGAGTCCCGTTTACATGGACGGGACGGCCGGCTCCTCCCCTTGTG